TCAAGTCCAAATGGATTAAAGACCTCAATATTAATCTGACCACATTGAACCTGATAGAAGAGAAAGTGGGAAGTAGTCTATAAGACATGGGCACAGGAGACCACTTCCTAGGCAGAACCCTAGAGCAACAATGAATAAATGGAACCTCCTGAAACAGAGAAGCTTCTGTAAAGCAAAGGACACTGTCATTAAGACAAAAAGGCAACCTACTGATTGGGAGAAGATCTTCACCAACTCCTCAACAGACAAAGGTCTGATCTCCAAAATATACAAAGAACTCAAGGAACTAGGCACTAAAACTCTAATTAACCCAGTTAAAAAATGGGGTACTGAACTGAATAGAGAATTCTCAACAGAAGAACTTCGAATTGCAAAGAGACACTTAAGGAGATGCTCAACCTCCTTAGCGATCAGGGAAATGCAAATCTAAACAACTTTGAGATACCATCTTTTACCTGTCAATATGGCTAAAATAAAAAACACCAATGATAGCCTATGCTGGAGAGGATGTGGAGTGAGGGGAACATTCATCCATTTTTGGTGGGAAAGCAAACTTGTGCAGTCACTGTGGAAATCAGTGTGGCGGTTTTTCAGGAAACTGGGAGTCAACCTTTGGCGGTTTTTCAGGAAACTGGGAGTCAACCTCCCTCAGGACCCAGCAATTTCACTCTTGGGAATATACCCAAGAGATGCCCTATCATACTACAAAAGCATTTGTTCAACTATGTTCATAGCAGCACTATTTGTAATAGCCAGAACCTGGAAACAACCTAGGTGCCCCTCAATAGAAGAATGGTTAAAGAATGTGTGGAACATATACACATTGGGGTTTTACTCAGCGGTAAAAAACAATGACATCTTGAATTTTGCATGCAAATGGATGGACATAGAAAACGCTTTACTGAGTGAGGTAAGCCAGACCAAAAAAGAGGAATATGGTATATATTCACTCATAAGTGGATTCTAGCCATAATTAAAGGACATTGAGCCTGTAATTCGTGATCCTAGAGAAGCTAAATAAGAAAGTGAACCTGAAGAAAATCATATAGTTTTCCTCCTGGATATTGGAAGTAGATGAGATTGCCAGGCAAACTTGGGTGCACGGGGTGGGGTGGGATGGGGGGTGGATGTAAGGGGAGATGGGTAGAGAGAAGGGAGAAGGGGAGGATTCAGGAGAGCTTGGGGGAATGGGATGGGTGGGATGGAGGAAGGGTGTATATGGGAGCAGGGAAGTAAATATCTTAATTAAGGGAGCCATTTTAGGGTTTGCAAGAGACTTGGTTCTAGAGGGGTTCCCAGGTCCAAGGAGAGGTCCCAAGATTATTCCTTGGGCAGCAGAGGAGAGGGTGCCTGAACTGGCCTTGTCCCATAGCCACACTGATGAATATCTTGCATATCACCATAGAACCTTCATCTGGCGATGGATGGAGATAGAGACAGAGACCCACATTGGAGCACTGGACTTAGTTCCCAAGGTCTGAATGAGGAGCAGAAGGAGGGAGAACATGAGCAAGGAAGTCAGAACTATGTGAGGTGTGTCCACTTACTGAGACAGTGGGACTGATTTAATGGGTGCTCAGCAAAACCAGCTGGACTGGGAGTGATGGAGCATGTGATCAAAATGGACACTCTGAACATGGCTGGCAATGAAGGCTGACTGAGAAGTCAAGGACAATGACCCTGGGATTTTATCCTACTGCATCGACTGACTTTGTGGGAGCCTGGTTTGTTTGGATGCTCACCTTTACAGACCTGTATGGATGTGCGAGGACCTTGGACTTCCCACGGGGCAGGGAAGCCTGACTGCTCTTAGCACTAGAGAAGGAGGGGGAGGTGGGAAGGGAGAGGGAAAAGGTAGGGGGGAGGAGGTGGAAATTTTTAATAAATAAATAAATTAATGTATGGCTATATGACATGGAAAGAGAAGCAATACTATACATACACACACACAGACACACACACACACACACAATACCTTACAAGAACAAAAACAAACTTATTATTTGTTATGGGGTTGAATCCAGTGCTTCATGTATAAGAGGCAAATGCCATACTACTTGTTTTGTATTAACATTTTAATTTTTAAAGGAAGAGTAATTTTTAATGGTTCTTTGGGAAATTCACATCATACATCTCAATCCTACTCATTTCTCAGTCCCCCCATATCTTCTCTTCCCCCTTTTAACTCCCCCAAAAGAAAATAAAAAATAAAAATATTAATGAACAAACAACAAAGAAAACCCCAAACACTTCATTCCTCTGCCTTTCCTGCGTCTCCATCACCTGTTCATTCATCTGTGGTGTGCCATGCAGCAAACCCTTCTGTTCAAATAGCTTTACTTGCAATTGTTCATTACGATCAGTTGTTGGTCTGGCTCAAGGCCTCTGGCTTGCAGTACACCAACCATAAACCCAGATATCATCCTTGGCAGTAGCTCAGGCATGGTTGTCACCCTGGTCCTGGGGTACAGTGCAGGCTACTCAGATCAGTAAAGGCCCTGGCAATAGCATGGCACTTGGGCACCAACGTGGCCCAAACTGGCAGCTCAGATCCCTGGCACCTGTGTAGCCTTTTATGGTAACAGGAGCCACAGACATCACAGAGTCGGGCAGGGCAGGCCACAGACCCAGCCATGACTCTCTGCGGTATCTTGGGCATGAATGTCACCATGCCTCTGGGTGGCAGCCCAGGCCACTCAGATCAGTATGGTCCTCAGACACCAGCATGGTCTCAGGTAGTGACCCAGATGCTGGGCTTCCACATGGTCCTCGGTGTTAACAGGAGCCATGGATATCCACACAGACCCTGGCTGCTGTGGGGCCACAGACCCAGACATGGCCCTTGGTAGAAGCCCAGACGAATATCTGGGTTTGGGTGGCAGTTCAGGCCACCCACATCAGTGGCTTTCTCACTGCCTTCGCTTCTTCAGCTCTACCTCTCTCCCAGCACTTGAACTGCTCTGCTTCTTTCTCTCCCTTTTCTCCTCCATATCATTGCCTCGAGCTGCTGGGAGGGCCCGGGGGTGTCTTCCACCTGCCCAGGCTGAGTAGGGCCAGGACCCATGGGTGTCTTCCACCTGCACGGGCTGAGCAGGGCCAGGGTCCGTGGGTGTCTTCCACCTGCCCAGGCTGAGCAGGGCCAGGTGGTTTAGTGGGTATCTAAATTTCTTTAAAATTTACTTAGATTTTGAGATAGGATCTTACACTCATGATCCTCCTGTATCAACTTCTTGAATGTTGGAATCACTGGTGTGTACCAGCACAACCAATTTCTCTTCCCCTCCCCTCCCTTTCCTTCCCTTCCCATGTCCACTCTTCTCTCCTCACCTGTCATATTCTTTGCTTTCCTTTCCTTTCTTTGCCCTCCCTCACCCCATTTCTTTCAATACACTCTCATGCAGTTGGGACTAACCTCAAATTAATTGTGAAGCAATGGATGACCTAAAACCTTTGTTTCTCCTGCATCTACCTCTGGGATTATTGGATTACTAGCATGCCTCATCAGACCTGGCCTAGTTTTTAAACTAAAAAGGTTTTGTGCATTTATCATGTATACCATGATACTTATCACATGTATACATTGCATAATGACTAGTTAGAGTGAATAGCATATAAACCACCTCACACAGGTTTTTTTTTGTGGTAAGAACATTCAAAATACAGCATTTGTCACCTCTGTTTTTCTTGTAATGAACTATGACCCAGTGTAGTCACAAGAGAAGTATCAGGCAATTTCTAAGAATGGGAAGTCCCAGAAAATACTTGCCTGTACTTTTCAAAACTGTCAAAACTATCAAAAACAATGGAGATCCAAATGCAATGTGAGATCTTGGAAGCGGTCCTAGAGTAGATAAAGACCATTAGATACCAGCCAAGGAACTCTGAATATGCTTTAGATACCAACTAAGAGAGATATGCCAATATTTGTTCATTCATTCTTGGTCTTCTCAGTCTCCAACAACTCATTTTTTCTATGAACCTAAAGCTATTCTAAAAATACAGGAGGTGGGGAGGATCTGGGAAGAATTGGGGGAGAGAAAGGAATGTGCTAAAAATACATTATGTGAAAGCAATTTGGCTGGCAATGAAGGCTGTCTGAGAAGCCAAGGACAATGGCACTGAGTTTTTATTCTACTGCATGGTCTGACTTTGTGGGAGCCTGGTTTGTTTGGATGCTCACCTTTATAGACCTGTATGGAGGGGGGAGAACCTTGGACTTCCCACGGGGCAGGGAACCCTGACTGCTCTTAAGACTAGAGAGGGAGAGGGAGGTGGAGTGGGAGGGAAATGGAAGGAGGGGAAGAGGTGGAAATTTTTAATAAATAAATTAATTAATTAAAAATAAAATAAATAAATAAAAACTAAAAGAGGAACATTATTGAATGCAGAGACTCACAGCTGTCCAAGATGCACAGAATAAAGACAGTTGTAGGCCCAGACATAAACAAGATGTTTGTGCTATCTCTGTCTAAGACCTAGGCAACACTGGCCAAAGGTGAACAGGAATTATCAAAGAGTTGGAAGACAGGGTGGAGCCTACTAAATGTCACTCTCTAGTCTTGAAAGAACCACCACAATTATTAACATACAGTTGTAATTACCTACAAGAGCAATCCTGTCAATAATAAGTCCAGGTAGTAGGGGAGTTGGAGGAAGAGGGAGTAATCAAGGGGTCCTACTCTTTGTGATGAAATTACTGGCTATTGACAAACTCTGGGAGAGGGGGCATCATTGCCTTTAGCTGTATACCTACTGCTGAGCCCGCATAAGTTACCTTCAAACCCTTAGTAATAGGAATGGCCCTGGTCAATCTCAGTGAGGCACAAAACGAAATGAGCAGAAGTGGGGGTGAGAGTGGTCAGTATGTATTGTGTACATTGTATGAAGTTATCTACTAACAAATGTAATTAACAAAAAGCAAATACAAAAACAAAACAAAGTTTGCTAAAATTAAGACAAAATAACTATCAGAAGACCAAACTCCCAAGGTACCTCCTTACCTGTCACCACCAGCTCCAGGGGTTTGCTATGCTCTGACCAGTGGTCCTTATTCCTGTACTGACACTGATAACATCCTGCCATGGTTGTATTCATGTGGTTGATGATGAATTCGGCCTCTTTCTGAAATCCAAGTTTCTTCTCTATAACTGTGTGTGTGGAGTTTTTCATCAGAGACAACTGGTACAGGAAGGCTTCAGGAATTCCCTGGCAGAGGATCCTCACAGACCCATTCCAGGGAACCACAGGACTTGAGGCAGCAGATATGGTAGGAATGGGAAATTCTGAAAGGAAACAGCCTAGGCTCAGATGGCTTGCAGAGGCTATTTTACTCCATTGATGTTGGGGGACATGAGTTAAACTACAAAGGACCTATAACCATTTCATTTAAAAATAGTGTTGTGGGTCTCTGGAGGTAAATCTGTTGATAAAGTGTTTGACTTTCAAGCGTCTTCTTGAAAATTTATTTTATTTTATATGCATTGGCATTTTTCCTGCATGTATGTCTGTGTGAGGGTGTCAAATCTTGGAGTTACAGATGTGTTGGAGCTGGGAATTGAAAACCTGGGTACTTTGGAAGAACAGCCAGTGCTCTTAATCACTGAGCCATTTCTCCAGCCCCCTTGACTTTTAAGAATGAGCACCTAACTTTGCCACCCCCAAACCCACACAAACAGCCAGGAGTGGTGAGGTACACTTACAAACCCAGTAAAGAGGCAGAGGCAGAGGCAAGCAGATTAGAGGCAAGCATATTTCTGGGCTTTCGGGCCAGTCAGGCTAGCCCAATAAGTGAGCCCCAGGCTAGTGAGAGACACTGCTTCAAGCACCAGCAGTGAAGGCAAAGACTCATGGTTTCCTGGAACTGGAAATGGGCAGATCATGGTGCTGAATCCAGGACCTCAAAGGGAGGCAGAATATGTTACTTATCTTCCTGGTTTTCCTACTTACTGTTGATTTGCCTTGAAAAAGTGATTTGTGCATCTGGAAGACTTCATTCTCAGTTTTTAATTATTATATGGAACAGGCAAAGGGCACTGAAAACCCTCGGGTTCCCTTATCTGTTCTGTGGGAGCAGCTCATTTGGTGAACACTTCCTATCATACAGAAAGTTCTAGGTTTGACCTTTGGCATCACAAAGCCAAGACAAAACAAAAAATACAAGTACTGTATGTTCATTCTCATATGTGGGTGTTTAGAAAGGCTATTTTAAAATACCCTTTTATTCTCAAATATGCATACAATAACTTTTGGTCATTTTTGCCATCCCCATTTCCCTCTATTCTTGCTCTGTTGCTGAGTCCACTCTTGTCCAGAAAACCCTTTTTACTTTGATGTGTTCTTTTGACCCACCAAATGTCACCAGAGTTTCCTGGACTTGTGTGGGATGTTATTTAATGGTTTGTGGGTAACTTAGCAGAGACTACACTACTGAAGAAAATGACATCCTTTCCCCAGAACCCATTAACTGTCCTAGACCCACAAGGAGGTTTATGAATATGTCCATGATTTCATATAATTAAAACAGCTGAGTAATTTTATAGCTGATCCTAAAAGTCAATAAATCAATCATTTAGAAGACATTGACAGAGTACTTAAATATATACCTGACATCACATTTTTTGTCCTGTAGAAAAAAAGGTAAATAAACAATAATTGATGATGACAATAAATTTGACATGAAAGTAGAATAGTGATCACTAGAGGCTAGGAAGTATGAGGGAGTGGGGACAAGTAGAAGTTTAATAATAGTTCAAAAAATGCTCTTATTTACAGCACAACTAGACAACTATAATTTTCAATAATCTATTATATATTTTGTAAATAAACAGATGAGATGAATTTGAAAGACTCTAAATACATATAATACTAGGGTAAAAGGCAGGGACAGATATTCAAATTTGTCTTATGATCTTCACATGCATACTGAGATGGAAATATTAATTTATCTGGTTTGATTGGCACATGTGGCCTAATTCCATTGTGTGTTACATTGCATTGTGCCCTGTAAATTTGTGCAGTTAGATTCCAAGTACACACGTATGACTCTGTGATCAGCAGTGTTGTTACAGAAAGGAGATCAGGTGACTGGTGTGGAAGTTCAGAAAGGGAAGTGGAAGAGCTGCCAAGAAGGTATGCATGGGGGGATGGAGCACTGCAGAGGGAAGGAGCTATTACAGGAAAGACTGAGACTTGCCACATGCAAAAAGTGAAAGATGAGCTAAATGAACGTTAGCGTAGGAGAAGAGGAGAAGAGAAGACACTATGGAGGAGTAGATACAAGCCAGGAAGTGGAAGGTGGGAGGGAGCTTAAACATTGCACCTAAGACAGATCTGAGGAGCTATACGCAGGAGATACCTAGAATTTTATCATAAGCATACAAATAACCCAGTCTTTGGAAGGATGCTAAAGAGAGAAGACATGATAGATGAGGGTTCTCATGCACTAGGAAGTCATAACAGGAGCTAGAGGGACAGGAATGCAGAATTTAACACTATTAGTGCTTCTGTTAGTTTATGTTGATGCTTCCCTCAGGACTACTTAGGTCTCAACGTTGTGATAGAGTACATAAATGTACAGTAGAGCTGGGATAGATTGACTTCCTCTAAATAGGTGAAGTAAATAAACTTGGAGAAAAAAGGGAATCAACAATCAGAAAGACAACTCATGACTTCCTCTTATGAATAGTCAGTAAAACACAGGTCTTTGTTAGACACCCTGCTAGCAGATTCCAAGGCTGTAGCTCCAGAGGGCTCTGGGGTCCCCTTAATGAGATAACACAGAGATGTAAACAGCAGACACTAGAATGAGAGTAGAGGGTGAATTTGCCTGATCTTAAGATCATCTTTCCATTCATTATTCTACTCCACAGCAGTTGTGAGTAGTACCTAAGTGTCGCGAAGGGGAAGACTTAGGGGGCACTTACCTTTTTGTGCCCAAATTGTCTGTCCCAGGAAGACGGCTGGAAGAGAATCATTGGTGAAAATTTAACCTCCAGTATTCAACCTTTGGTGCAGATATCCCTGCATAATGAGTTATGGAGTAAAACTGTATGTGTGTGTGTGTGTGTGTGTGTGTGTGTGTGTGTGTGTATGTTTGTTTGTCTATTCATTTATCTACCACTTAGCTATTATCTATAGTAGTTTCAGGTATCTCTCTATATCTATTATCTGTCTACTATGCATGTATGTATATATGTATGTGTCAATCATCTGTCTCTATCTACCTGTATTGCTATTATTTATTAATTGATCATCTTTTGTCAATTATCTGAAATCTATCAATAAATCTACAAGTCAGTTTCAATCATTTATTTATCACCTTTCTTCTGTAGATCATCTAGTTTTGTCTGTGGTGTATCATTTATTCTGTCTAGCTCTTGTTTTCAAATGTATGTCTATTTATTCATAAGAGTATTTTTCCCAAAATAACCAGTCTTGAGGGTCACTCTTACATTTTCAGTCTTTCTCCTTCTCCTCTCACAAAGCCCAGCAATGGTCATGAAACCTAGACAGTATGTCATGAATTGAATAGAGGCAAGCAAGTCCCACAGTTCAGATTCTAACAGAGACCCAGTTACTACCACCTGAGCAGAATGCTGGGAGACTAGACTACTCTTGGCTGCCAGTAAAGTCACCTAGCTTCCATGTTAAGAGAGGTGCTAACTTTTGTGGGAACCCTGCCTGTCTTGCTAACCCACTTTCAGTTCAGGACTCACCGAGACACAGATAGGTGGTGTCCTGTGGAGCCATGATGCTGATATGGCCTCAGCCCAATTATCGTCCAATTTGTGTGCATTCACAGACAACAGATACTTGTGAGACAGTAGGACACACAGGATGTTTGAGGTCTGAGTTCCTGACCACAGGATTTCTACATCTTTTCCTCCATAGGCAAAAGGAACAGTTCCTTTTTGAAAAGTTCTCAGTTGCTCTTGGGTGGACTCTTAAAAGAGACCAAGAATCCTTCTTTTTACATTTCAGACACAAAGGAGAGTTTTCCTCAATGCAATGGCTAGTGATGTTCAAAGTCCCTTTTTTTTTTGTTGGAAATTTCTTTTTATTTTTTCCTGGCAGTTTCTATTATGCAACCCGGTGTATCACAGAATTCAATATGAGATCCAGACTATACTTAAACTGAGTTCCTTCTTCAGCTTGACAAATGCTGGAAACACAGGTGTGAACTACCACCATGCTTGTTTTAATAATTTTAACTTCTAATTTTTTCTTTCAATTTTTTTCATTTTACATACCAACCCCAGTTTTCTCTTCTTCTCCTTCTCCAATTCCCGAACTCTTCCCACTCCTATCCACTCTTCAAAGGGGTAAGGCCTCCCTTGGGGAGTCAGCAAAATCTGACAAATAAAGTTGAGATAGGACCAACCTCACACCCCCCAGTCTGTATCAAGGTTGAGCAAACTATTCCACCATAGGGAATGGGCTCCAAAAAGTCAATTCATGTACCTGGGACAATTCCTGATTCCATTGACAGGCCCCCTACATATCAGATCATGTAATTGTCACCCAATGCAGAAGGCCTAGTTTGGTCCCATGTAGGTTCCCCAGCTGTCAATCCAGAGTCCTTGAGCTCCCATTAACTTAAGTAGAGTGTTTCTGTGATTTTCCCCATCATGATCTTGATCCTCCTCACATGCTCATATGATTTTTCCCCCTTCTCTTTAACTGAACTCCAGGAGCTCAGTCCAGTGCCTAACTGTGAACCATTGCATCTGCTTCCATCAGTTACCGGATGTAGGTTTTATGACAACAATTAGGGTAGTGACTAATCTGTTTCTAGGGGAATCAGTTCGGGCACCCTCTTCACTATTGCTTGGAGTCTTTGTTAGGTTCATCCTTGTGGATTCTTGGGAATTTCCACAGCATTTGATTTCTCCATAATCCCATAATAGCTCCCTCTATCAAGGTATCTCTTTCTCTGCCGTCCCTCTCCATCCTTCCTCCAACTTGGCCATCTCAATCCCTTATGCTCCTTTCTCCCATCCCCTCTCTTCTATTCTTCTATCCCATCCCAGTTTACTCAGTATCTTAACTACTTCCCCTTCCTGGGGCCCTCCATATGTGTCCTTCTTCAGGTCTTCTTCTTCTTCTTCTTCTTCTTCTTCTTCTTCTTCTTCTTCTTTTTTAAGGAAGAAAAGGTTTATTTGACTAACAGTGTTACAGAGACAGTCACTTGAGACAGACAGTGAGAAAGCAGAGATCAAGGAACGTATTCTTATGCTCAGCTAGTTTTCTTCACTCTTAAACAGTCTGGGATATCCTGCTTAGGAAATGGCGTCATTCCCTAACTTGTGGGTAGGTCTCCTCATACCAATTAAACTAAACAGGAAAATTTTTCCAGACATGCCATTAGGCCAATTATCTCTGATTTAGACAAACTCTCTTTCAGATTCTATTTTGAAGTGATTCTAGATTGTGTCAGGATGACATTTAGAACTAAAACTCACAACAGCAGTAACACCAAGACAACACTAGCATTTACAATTGCCTACGTATTTAGAAAGAAGTCTCAACACTTATCCTACTACACCACTGTTAAGAATATACCTGAAGGGCTTTTAGTCACCACACCATTGGAGACTTCTGCATATTCATATTTATTGATAAACTAGGTAATAAGACCTGCTGTGAGTTCCTGTGTGTAATAGCTATGTTCAGAGGCTCGCGTTTCACAGTGTTCCTTCCTGTCCTCTGCTTCTTACGTTCGTTTCACTGTCCCTTATTTTGTGACGTTCCCTGAGCCCTGGAAAAGGTTGACCTACACTTTATGAAACAGCCATTTGCGGGATTGGAGTGAGCATTGAATATGATCAAAACACATTTCACACACATATGAAACTTTCTCCAAATTAAAAAAAAACTTATGTTAAGAAGAACTCTTAATTTATTCCCATGATACTTTTTCTAGTTCTTTCTCTCTCTCTCCGTCCTTCTCTCTTCTCTCTCTGTCTCTTTCTCCTCTCTCTGTTTCTCTGTCTCTCTCTCTGTCTCTGTCTCTCTCTGTTTCTCTCTCTCTCACACACACACATACACACAGTATGATAAATATGTATAGAGATGTCATATTGAAATACCATATGTTGTATGCTAACTTAAAAGTTATTACAAAACTAAAAAGTAAAAACCTAATTTAAAATCTAGTTTACACATATAAATGTATACATGTATTTATCTTCTGAATCCAGCTTATTTTGATACACATAATGGTTTTAAGTTACATCCATTTTCCTGCAGATGTTCTATTCGATTTTTTGCTATAACTGTGTTGACAGAGCTTTCTGTCCAACCCAGTCCCTCAGTCATTCAGTTCCAAAGAAACACACAGAGGTCTAAATTAATTATAAACTGGTTGGCCTATTAGCTCAGGCTTCTTATTAACCAATTCTTACATCTTAAATTGGCCCATTATTCTTGTCTATGTTATGCTTGTGGCTTGGTACCTTATATCAGTGAGGTGTTCTCATCTTGTTTGCTCTGTGTCTGGCTTTCTCTGTGATGACTGTAGACTGAGCTTTCCTCTTCCCAGAATTCTCCTGTTCTTGTTGCCCCACCTCTACTTCCTGCCTGGCTACTGGCCAATCAGTGTTTTATTAAAATAATACAAGTGACAGTACAAAAGACCATTGTCCCACAGCATAACTGAATTAAAAAACTTATGTCACCTGGGCCTGAAAGCATCTCTCTGCTGAATTCTTGGGACACTTTTGGAAGGAAACTTGGATTAAAGAGACTTCAAATAAAATTTCTTCTTCAGGATGCTCACAGTCCCTGTAACATTATCTCTTGGGAGGTTGAGGCAGGAAGATCTAAATTGGAGACTATCTAGCAAGTCCCTGTTTCAAAAGAGCAAAGAAACAGACAGACAGACAAAGATGCATCTCATTGTAGATGCAGGAACATGTAAAAGAGAACCTTTGGGAAAGTGTAATAGTTGTGGTTTTGACCAGTGTGACACAAGCTGTAGTCACTAGACAAGTGGGACTTTCAACTGGGAAATGCATGCATATGATTAGCCTATAGTCAAGACTGTTTGGCATTTCTTGATTCATGGTTAATGCGGGAAGGCCTAGACTGCTGTGAGTGGTGCTACTCCTCATTAGGTCATTCCAAATTTTATAAGAAAGCAGGCTGAGCAAGGCATGGGGAACAATTCAGTATCTGGTGAACTTCCATCATTTCTGCTTCAGTTTCTGTCTCCAGGTTCCTGCCTTGACTTCCCTCAATGTAGTGTGGCCTATGATTGTGCAAGATATGTAACCCAAAGAAACCCTTTACCCCATTTAGTTTGGTCAAAGAGCTGTAGTCTCCACAGAAGACTTCTTCAGATGTTTCTTTTTTATTTTATTTTATTTTTTAAAACAATCTTTTCTTATTTTACATATCACTCCCAGTTCCCCTTCCCTCCCTTCCTACTGCTCCTCCCACATAATTCCCACACCCAAATATACTTTTCAGAGAAGTAAGTCCTCTGGCATAACTGGATGTAGACATGTAGAGGAATACAAGTAGATACATGTCCACCCTCATGCATAAAACTCAAGGACAAATGGATCAAACACCACAACGTAAACCCAGCTATAATGAACCTCATAGAAAGGAAAGTGGGAAGCAACCTTGAACACATTGGCACAGGAGACCACTTCCTAAGTAGAGCACCAGTAGCACAGACACTGAGAACAACAATTAATAAATGGAACCTTTTGAGTCTGAGAAGCTTCTGTAAGGCATAGGACACAGACAACAGTACAAAATGGCAGCCTACTGAATGGGAAAGGATCTTCATGAATTCCACATCTGACAGAGAGATGATCTCCAAAATATATGAAGAACTGAAGAAACTGGATATCAAAATCAAGTAATTCAATTAAAAAATGGCATACAGATCTAAACAGAGAATTCTCAAAAGGGAAAGCTGAAATGGCTGAAAGACACTTAAAGATTGCTCAACATGTTTAGTTATTGGGGAAATGCAAATCAAAACAACTCAGAGATACAATCTTACACTGGTCAGAATGGTTAAGATCAGATGCTTCCTTGAGAACTCATGAAGTAAAGAAGATATTTCATCTCAGTTTAACATTTCCTGACTTCCACATACACACTGGGATCTGTGGAAAATTCCTTTGGAATTTTCTGGGAAATAGGAGTGGGCAATTTTTGTTTGAAGATCAACTGATCAAATTCCAAGTATGCCACCTCCTGCACTTCTTGTCTTTCAGGGTCCTAAAAAGAGGTAAATATTAAGTGATGTGTGTACATCATCTTGCAGATAATGAAGGAATATTAGACTGCAGGAAGAGGCAGTCTCAGGGGGAACCTACCTGTCTGTTCAGTGTTGTTCTTGGTTCACATTCTTGGTCCATGGTAGCTGTAATTTTAGAGGACAGAAGTAAACAAACATACATAATAAAGTACTTCTGCACTCTCATTTCAAATCCAAAGTACTAGTGAGAGATAGGGTAAAACACAAGGTTGCTCACCAGCCACAAATTAGAATCAGAAGTTTTGCCATTCTATGTTTATAGTCCATCCCACAATGCTGTACCCTAGTAATTCTTTCTTCAGTATATTGTCTCTCTCTCCCTCCCTTTCTGCCTCCCTCCCTTCTTCAATTCCTCTTTCCTTTCCTCCCTCCATATTTCCTTCTCTCCCTTTCTCCTTCCATCTCTCTTTCCCCCTGCCTCTTGTAAAACCATCTCCTAGATATTAGTGTATGCTTTGAAGGTGAAGATGCAAAAGTGCATTGAGGAATTAGTCAGTTGATGTAGATGGGCTTTCTGTCTATGTGCTATTTTCATTGGTTAATAAAGAGACTGCCTTGGCCCTTGATAGGACAGAAAATTAGGTAGGCGGAGTAGACAGAACAGAATGCTGGGAAGAGGGCAATGAGGCAGATGCCATGGAGCCAGCCACCAGGTCAGACATGCTGAATCTTTTCCGGTAAGTCACCACCACGTGGTGCTATACAGAATATTAGAAATGGGTTAATCAAGATGTGAGAGTTAGCCAGTAACTAACTCTCTAGAGACAATGAGCCAGGCAGTATTTAAATGAATACAACTTATGTGTTATTATTTCCGGGGCTAAGCTAGCTGTGCGGGAGCCGGGTGGGACAAAAAGCAAGCCTGCCCGCAGCTCCTCACTACAGTCAGTGTCTGAGAACTGAGGTGAAGTGCAAGACTTTCTTTCCTGTCTAGAAAGCCCTGCCTCAAATGAGGAACACATACCTGTCTTTCTCCAGTCCTGGTTTCTCACAATATTCAGATGACATTCACTGGCTTGTTCCTGAGACTTACTCTTTTTGGCCGAGCAACAAGAATAAAGAAGGATGATAAGGAAAACAGACAGCATGGTAACTGACAGCCCGATCAGAATATTCAGGATCCTGTGGTTATCTAGAGGGAGATGTAAACCCAATAAGAGGTAAAACTTTGGATCTCCATTTTTATAGATTGCATAGTATTCATTTATTGGAGGATAATTAATTTAATAGTTCCTTAGGACAAGCATCATGATGGAGAACCTACTAATAATATTCTGTTCAACGGAAATAGTATTAAACTGACTTCTAAAGACTTACTGTTATACATAATGCATTTCTCAACTCTCAGGAGCAGATTCTATATTTGTGATAGATGGTGATTAACACAGATACCCACAACTGGGCAAGCTGTGGAGAATAAGAGACCATAGAATTCTTCATCCTAAATGAGATGTTTACATCTCATATCCTTCTCCAAATGTTCAGCATCATTGTGAAAGAGATGGAAGAAGAGATTGCAAAAAGAAGCTTTGGATAACTATAAGGAAACTGTCTTTTGTATACTGAGGGCAGCTTAATGTGGGAACTTCACAAAAGGACAAGATAACATGCCCAAGAGCAGTGCAAGGTCAAAAGCCCAGCATGGAGAATGGAGATGAACATGAAGCCCCACCCCTAGTCAAGGGGCTGGGGCAATTTATAACTGTTGGCAGAAGGAGTGTCAGTAATAGTAGTGTTGTTGCTAGTAAGTTGACCATGCACCAGCAGAAGTCAACACATCCAATGATATAAGGACATTTCGCCAGTGACAGAAAACTTCAGGACACTAGGTAAAGGTGCTCATTATCTTAATCTGAGATTGATACCAGTGCTCACTTAATCTGGCTAACAACTTCTACATCTTCAACATCCTTGAACCAAACTACTAATTATCCCAAAGGGCAAAAGTAAAGTCTAGTGTAGTCTACCACAGGTAATATTTTTATAAAATTGTTCTTTCTGCTTGCTTGCTTCCTTATTCAGGCTCTATGATCTTCTCTCCAAGAAAAACTGAGCTAGAAAGAGCACTCCATTGTTCCTGGGAGGGGGCTAAATCTGCTCTCCCTTTTACTTATAGGAGATCTCGGGTACAGTTCCCATGCTACTCCTAAAAACTTCTGGAGTTTCAGAGTTTAAGAATAAGAGAGAGGAGATGACGATGTTAAAACTACTAAGATGTGAGGAAGTTGAATATGAACACAAGAGCATCTGGTCCTTAAGTTTCCGTAATAGAGAAGGGGAAAAATTACTCACTAGTTTTGGAGTCTGGTTCAGTGGATGAAGTGAAATTTCTTGATGAGTTTACTAGGAAATGGGAGAGGAGAGGGTGAAAGTTCATCAAAAGACTGTGTGCCTTCCCCATATACAAAGTCCTTTAAATTAGGAGGGTAAGCAGTACCCACTCCACCTCTTAGTGCTGAGCCTTTAGAATCATAGGATGCCATTATGTGATTTGCTTTGAGGTGTTGATTTCAGGTTGTGATGAGTCAATAGGAATACCGTGGAGAGAGCTAAGTGAGGGAGAGATCAGGAGGCTGCTCCATCTGTGATCTGTCCAAACTGATTGCAATCTTATCCTTAATGAGTCTGTGCTGACCTCTTTCTTATTCTCTGTGGATACAGACACATTCCAGTGTAGCTGTCAAGTCAAGATAAGGATTGTTTGGGAGGCTCCTTATCTATTATTTTATAATTTGATATCCATTCTTAAACTCTATGTCTTTTTAAAAAAAAGTTCTTAAATGAAATATAATTGTATCTCTTTCCTATTCTTCTCATCTCTTCAGGGCATCTCAGGTATCCTTCCTCCAGGCTTTTCCTACACTCACTTAACGTCGATAACCTCTTTGTCTTTGATTAATATTGTTTTATTTTGTAACACACACCTTTATACATATTATGTATATGCATGTGTTACTGAGTCTCTCTATCATCAGTAAGATGGTTCTCAGACATGGTTTCTTTAGGATCTCCTTAGTCACAAGATATGAGACACATATAAGACGACTTTCTTACCTGTGACAGAAAGATACAATGGGTCACTTGGGGATGACCACACATGGGAAGAGTTCCTGAAAGAGCCATAGCATCTATAGGTCTCTGCCTGGATCAAAGGAACAGGAAAGAAGTTGGCCTTGAATGTCCCATTGTGGCTCTGCTCTGTGGGCAGCCCACGTCCCTGAGGCACCCCTTTCATGGACAGATGGAACATGTCAAACTGATGGTCAGAGATGCAGGACAAGGTCATGTTCTCTTCTGATGTCACCACAGGTCCCATCAGGGCAGACAGAGAAGGTTTCTTGTACAAACCTGGAAGAAAGGAGGTAGAGACAGTGGAGGAGCAGGTCCTTACCAGTGTTCAGTCACTCCTCAGTGTTCTCTCTCCCTGCTTCCATTTCTATGATCTCTCTCTATCCACATTTATCTCTGTCTTTTCCACCTCCCTTTGTCTTCCCATCTCCTTCTTTTCTTCTAAATTACCTTACTGAGTCTCTGACTTCAATCCTATACCCATATATTTTATTTCAGTTCTCACTTTTGGACAGTTACTGCCTCTATATGAATTAGTTCATACCATTTTTATTTTTAAGGTTATTTTAATAAACAGATATTTAGTTTATTTAGCAATTGGATTCATTATGAAACATTCAAATATATAATGTATTTTATATTATTTTCGTTAAAAATTTGAAGTTAAACTATAATTACATCACTTTGTGACTTCTTTTTCTTTAAGTGTTGTTACATATGCTTTTTAATGTAATCTTGATCATATTTATGCTATCATTCCTTCTTCTCCATCAATCTCCACTGATTCCATTCCTCTTCCCAATTATTCTTCTTTACACTTTCAGTTTTACCAAATGTTTTGTTATTCAATGGGTTAATTAGAGTTACTTATTATTTTGTCTTAATTAAGATATAAAGCCATGAAGTCCATTAAGACATTCTCAAACTGTTCATTTTGTTCATTTTCTTCCCAATACCTTCATTTAACCCACGTTTGCTGCTCCTTCCTTCTCGTTTCACCTTCCATGTTGTATGTATTTCTCCTCTTTTCCATCCCACTTTGTTAACCTTCTTCCCCTTCTCATGATTTGTTCCCAGTTTCATGACTTATAACTTCCTTACCTTATGTATATTTAAAATGTAGACTCTTACTTCACTCTAAGTAATTATTTTTATATCTTGTCCCTTTCCCCATATCTGTGTTAATGAATCTCTCTTCTCAATGGACACAATATTCCATGAAAGTGTTTGTTTCCTTGAACAGGGGTCACGATGATCTTCCCTCCCTCGTTTCTCGTAGTGTGTTTACTGCTCAAGTGTAATCTACCATCTGACCCTCTTCCTGTTTTAAAATATCCAATATTTGCCATTATTTCTCTATTTCTCAAATCCTCCATTCAAGCTTAAGACATTTTGCAGGTTTTCTCTTCCCACACACACCTTGTCTACTATTTCCTCAGTGTCTGAATCCTTCTCTCAGTCTCCCTGTTTGTATATATTTCCATGTCTCTGTTTTATTTTCATATGTGTATCCCAGGGGGAAACACTATAGAACAGACGGCAACTGGTGGTCTACTCAATTACCTAGGCTTATGCTATTCTTTGATGATGAATGATTAGTCAAATACAAGAATGGAAGAAAACCAAACTAGACAGAAAATCTATGGGTGCCATCTGTACCAAGACCTCAGGACCTATGAAGAAGCAACCCCACTTAGCACATAAACACAGGTCAGACTTATATGTCTAGGTCTTCTGACATATGTCTTTTAGAGGAAGAAGCCAAACAAAATTCTGAACTTCTAAGTCTCTGAACATTAGTAGAAGGATGTCAATATCTCTGATACATATCAGTCTCACCAAGCTGCCCCTTTCTCTTTATTTCTAGGTATGATTTCTTTGACATCCCTGTATCTGTGCCTTATGCTATAACCAATGGTTTGTTCTTGTATCTCTGTTTTCATTGTCTATGTCAGTAATATTCTCTCCAAGTCTGCCATTCTCTAAGTTTCTTACAATCCCCTTCTAGGACATGCTGTATATATAATTTTTCTACATCACAGAGAGGCTGGTGACCAGGTAACACCCTCTTACCTGTGATCTTTATGTCAACAGGGTCACTGGATTCAGACCATTCATACGGTGTTTGTTTGTAAGAACCATAGCATGTGTAAGTCCCAGCATGGTCAGGTGTCACAGGACCTATTGGGAAGTTGGCATGGAACCCCCCAATATGAGTTTCTGCAGAGAGCTGGAAAGAGTCCTTGCTTATTCCCATTCTATGTGAAGTCAAAATGAAAGTGTCAAACATAATCTCTGAGTGGCACTTCAATGTCACCTTCTCTTCTAATTTTACCAGAGGAGTTGGTAGGGCCAGGAGGAAAGGTTTCCTGTAGATTCCTAGGAATAAAGAGATTGTGAGTATGAATCTGCTAATCAATCTATGTATCCCAGAATTCCTATGCTATTTTCTCCCTTAATCTGTTCTTTTCATCAGTGTCCCAGTGTCCTTTTCTTTTTTTGATGTCAGCTTGTACACAGACTCCTCCATCTTTCTATGTCCATTTCCCACTTATTTGACCTTTATAATGCTGAGATTCTGACTAGAACTTGTCTTAAAAATTCTAATGTGGGGATATTTGGCAGAATGAAAGGACACAGCAAACATGATCTCTTACCTGAAATTATGATCTTCAGAGGGTCACTGTGTGATGAGAGATCATTATGGTATTGACGTTTATAACTATAGCATCTGTAGGTTCCTCCAAATGCTGGGGTCACAGGCCCCAAGAGAAGATCCTTCCGGAATATTCTGTTATGGCCCTGAATGTTAGGATTCCCATGCTCTTTGTACAGCTTGACTATGTTAAACTCACTGTGAGTGTCACAAGTGAAGGTCACATTCTGTCCCTGAGGAACTATATGGCTTGGCCAGGCAGACAGTGAAGGTTTGTTATTAATCCCTGTAGAAAGATAAACAGAGTAAAATATTTAGTGATCTGCCTTCATTCCTGAGATCAGAGTCTCCACATTTTACTTCTTCAGGGTCCATTGTTTGACCCTTTTCTCTGAACTGAAACATCTCTTTCAGTGATAGAAATTTAAAGGCTCAGGGGATTCAAGAGGTACACAAACATTAATGTATTGGAGAGCTGAAATTTGCAAGATTTACCAGTGTCTCTTCCCACTTTATAGATATTGTAAGTTACTTTTCCTGCTGAATTCTAAAAGGAGATATCCAAGACCCATTCAGCTGCCAGCAAGTTGTGCAGGGAGCTCCATGGTTTTGGCATTCATGGTAATCACCCATATTGAGGTGTGCTTTCAGTAATGCTTTTGTGTCGTCCCTTGTTTCTGCAAATAAATCCTTATGCACACTGCTATTAGTAATCTCAGTAGACGCACAGGTTCAAAGGTTTGGACATTGATGCAATCATTGTTTGGTCGATCCTGGGTTTCTTTTATGGGGTGATCAGAATTGCATGTGTTGTCTCTTCCCAAGGAAAGTCTTAAATAAAACATGTCATGCGTGTCACCCAACTACCATGTACATATGGAATATCTTTCTTTGCTAAGATATGTTAATTGAGAATTTTGAGTAAGTATTAAGTAATGAAGTAGATTTGGTTGTGAAAAATGTAATCTATGAGGAAATTATATCAGAGGATTTGAGGAAAAGATTCATTTATGAAAAGACAGATTGGAATTATAGCCAACAAGTTATAAACAAGGAATGCTTTTGACTCACTTTCATAGACTCTAGAAATTTAACAATACTGGATAAGAAATACATTGTGAATGTTCTATATCTCAGCAGTGAGGGAAGTCAGCCCCTAGGACCACAGAACTGAGAAAATTAACAACAAAACAGTAGGGATGAGTCCTTTGTACTACTCTGTCCCTTATGTGCTCTTGTCCACAACTTCATTCACAGAGATCACATCAGCTCATGTTTCTACACTGACAGACATAAAGTTTCTCCACCATTTCAAGGCTCTTGCATGTGGAACACTGAGAGAATAGCACTGTTCTGCCTCTTTGGTAACTTGGTGATAAAAAGTATTTGGACTTATGATTGCCATCCCATGAATCTTGGTCATTCTTCTGTATCATCATGGGAGATGTTTCTGAGGAAAGAGGCAGTAGACCATATAAACTCCAGCCTGTGTGGACATCTTGAAACACTGCTCAGGCAGAAGCTTTCAAGTACCCCAGTGAAAACTGTACCTGATTATGATAAGTGGCCAGTAATTTACTGTACCAGGAAGCCCAGCTCCCAAAAACATCTGATCTCCAAACAGAGGAGGCAAGTAAGAGAAACATGGAATGCTGACACCAATGCCATCCTGTCCAGGGTTGCAACCAATTTACTCAAATCCATTCTCAGGTTAGAATTAATAGTAAAGGTCTATTAACATCCACAGAACATCTGCATGTGACAGAGGTGATGGTTCTCTTCGATATGAAGGTGTCTGTGAATGAACTTGCACAGGAAAATCAGAGAAGTCAAACATGCCACAGAACAATGCTGAGGCTCTGGTAGTAAATACAGAGGAAAGGAAGATCTACGAAGCCCACAACAGATAATTCACTGCAGTATTTCTAAAACAGTGGCAGAATTATAAGATACCATGTATAAAGTTTCAGAGCTAGGTACATGACTTAAGAGAGAAAATGCATCATTTTATGGTCTGTGTAACCTCACTCAGTAAAATATTTTTTAATTTATTTATTTGTCTGAAAATTTCTTGGTTTCATTGTTACTTACCAATAAATAGTATTTCGGAGTGTGCATGTGACACATTTTTATTAGCTGTTCATTGTTTGAAATACATTAGATAGTTTCCTTGTCTTAGTTCTTGAGAATAGAACAACAAGAAACATGACTGGCAAAGTATCCATGACATAGGGTATCAAGTTCTTTGGATGTATTCAAATGGGTAGAAATGATACAAATATACTACTCATTTATGAAAGTCTCAAGAAATTAATAAAAAGAACAATCTTTTATAAAACAAAAGGTGGTATCTAACTATAAAAAATAAACTCTGATTAAAATGTTTTATAAAATTTGGAAGCAAATCATTGAACATCATAAAAAGTTTGGCAACATCCCTCTTAAGCAAAATATTCAACTACTGAATTGGACAAACTTGTTGCTCAGCTTGATGTCTAAGGAGGTAAAGCTGTTGCTGCCATGCCTGACTTTCTGGATTCCTCCACTGGGATCCATGTGGTGAAAAGAGAAAACTGATTCCAGAAGTTTTCCTTGACTTTCCTACTTGTGCCTTAACAAATGTACACCCAACACCCCCCCACCCCTCCCCATACACACACAAAAAAAATAAACACAGTAGCACACACAAATCATGAGTATATGTGCACAAGGGTACACCTCAAATAATGGCAAAAATTTACAAAGTTAATAGATTGTTTCAATAATACATATAATATATAGTTATCCTCCTGGATATAGGAAGTAGTCAAGATTGCAAGGCAAACTTGGGTGCACGGGTGTGTGTGTGTGGGGGTTGGAAGTAAGGGGAGATGGTTAGAGAGAAGGGAGAGGGGGAGGATTGGGGATGGCATGGGGGAATGAGATGGAGGGGAGGAAGGATGGATATGGGAGCAGGCAAGTATATATCTCAACTAAGGGAGCCATTTTAGGGTTGGCAAGAGACTTGTTTCTGGAGGGGTTCTCAGGCCCAAGGAGAGGTCCCCAGATTCTTCCCCAGGCAGTAGAGGAGAGGGTGCCTGAACTGGCCTTGGCCCATAACCATACTGATGAATATCTTGTATATCACCATAGAACCTTCATCTGGCGATGGATGGAGATAGAGACAGAGACACATATTGGAACATGGACTTAACTCCCTAGATCCAAATGAGAAGCAGAAGGAGGGAAAATGTGAGCAAGATAGGCAGGACCAGAGGGAACCTTCATCCGACAATGGACAGCAATAGAGACGGAGACCCACATTGGAGCACCGGACTGAGCCTCCCAAGGTCCAAATGAGGAACAGAATGAGGGAGAACATGAAAAAGGAAATCAGGACCGCGAGGGGTGCGTTCACCCATTGATACAAGGGGACTGATCGAATGAGAGTTCACGATGGCCAGCGGGACTGGGACTGAACGAACACGTGATCAAGCCAGAGTCTCTGAATGTGGCTGACATGGGGGCTGACTGAGAAGCCATTGACAATGGCACTGGGTCTTGTTTCGTCTGCATGTACTGGCTGTTTGGGATCCTAGTCTGTTTGGATGCTCACCTTCCTAGGCCTGGAGGAAGGGGGAAGGAACTTGAACTTCCCACAGGACAGGAAACCCTGACTGCTCTTTGGAATGGAGAGGGAGGATGAGAGGGAGTGGGGGGGGGAGGGAGTGGGGGAAATGGGAGGGTATGGGGAGGAGGGGAGGAAGTGGAAATTTTTATAAACAAACAAATAAAAAAAGAAAAAAACCTAAAAAAAAATACATATGATAAAACAGGAGAATGAATGTGCTTAGATCAGGCTTTATATAATCTGATGGATAAATGCAGTAATGAATGAAAATTCAATAAAGAAAAATGTCAGGATATTTTTGCATGCATCCCAATAGCAAATTATCAGTCATAAAAGTTCAAGAAAGACTAAAGGAACAAAGAGTTTCCCTTTGCTGTCTAGTGGAGTGGAATTAGGATGATCTTACACATGGTGATGCATATAATTAAAATACATTTTATTAAATTATCAAAGAATTAACAGAAGGCAAGAAAAACAGCTAATAAAAATAAACCAAAAATGTAGAGTAGAAAGAATAGAAAACACTTGAACTTGGAGTAAAATGAAAATATCAGGTCCAAAAAGGTCAAATGACACAAAAGAAATCCAGCCCAAATAGCATGATCACAGAACATATTATTATCATAAGAGATCCTGAAATTAAAACAATAAGAGAATCAAAGAACATATAAGGGACTTCTAATTACAGCTAATGGAATACCTACAGGCTACAGGAGGCCAGGATGATGTATTCAATGAAGTGAGTGGAAAAAGAGAAACCCTGCCTAAAAATGTCAGTAACACTGTCTTTCAGAAATCAAGACAATGAATTTCTCAGAAAAACAGTAGCAGACAAGACTTGATCATTATAAGCACAGGAAATGCTGTGAAGATCTTCAAACAGAAAAAAAGGCTGGTAGCGAGTGACCTGACATCCTTATGTGGAGAAAGTAACAGTAACTCACTAAAACAAGCAAAAATGAGATATTGCAACAGTGTCCTGGTGATACACAAATTCTACCTCTAGCAAAGTTGTTTGAACACAAAAATAACTTCAATGGTTTGTCAAGTGACACACATATTTAAAAATTAATAAATTATAGCATCATAATATCAAAAATAAATGGGAATGGTCAGGTGAGAGTGTAGAAAGGGGACACTATTTTTTATTATATTAAAAGTTTTGATTATTCTTCAGGTGTTATAGTCCATCTTTTAATATTTTTTTTTGATTTTTCAAGCCAGGGTTTGTCTGTAGCTTTCAAGCCTGTCCTGGAACTAGCTCTTGTAGACCAGGCTGGCCTCTAACTCACAAAGATCTGCCTGCCTTTTCCTCCCGAGTGCTGGAATTAAAAGCGTGTGCCACCACTGCCCAGCTCTGTCCATTCTTTTAATCCCAGCACTTGGGTGACAGAGACAGGTGAATATCTGAGTTCATTGACAGCCTGGTCTACAAAGTGAGTTTTAGGATAGATAGTAAGAGCTACATAGAGAAACCCTGTCTTAAAAAAACCCAAAAATGTTTGTCTGATCAAAATTGATGCCTTACTGAGCCAGGGGCTGTGTCCGGTACAATCTGGGACAGGACTGAGAGGTGTGTTTTCAAGGTCCTAAGTTCACAGTTCAGGAGACTAACCAAAAATCATTCACAGATTCCACCAGACAACACACTGTGATGCCTACTATCCTGTTAGAATGAAACTTCTCTGTTGGCATGGGTAGTAGTATCTCAAGGCTAAGGCTGGACTCACCTGCTTGTGCCAAAGTCCTCAGGAGTAGGATGAAGCCTGGAAAGAAAAGGTCATGATGGATGATCTATTCCTTCCAACAGTCTAGTGATCTGATACCCCGGTCCCTGTTGGATCTCTGTACAGTAGAGTCAGAGCTCACTTCATTACGATGAACTCCTGCACCAATATCAACCATGGAAACCAGTGTTTCTTCTGTGGAAAGATCCAGCCTCCCATGACGATATTTCCACCCTTTTATTCCACACCCTTCATTCCCAGAAGGACTCACCAGTACACACAAGATTTAGGTGCAGAGACAGCATGGTGCTGCTTCCGTTGACAAGAGGCAAAGCCAGAATAAAACTTACAGGATGTTGTAGGAGGCTCGATGCATCTACCTGACCACATCACGGAAAGCTGAGCAAGAGAGCATATCCGCCGAAGGCAGTTTCTCTTTAGCCATTGTTGTCCAGAAACGCACTTTGGGGGCAGGTTGACTTTGAATTCAAAGGCCTATCTTCTAGTGCTTTGATTAAAAGTGGGTGTCTTCGTTTGAGGGTTCATACATGTTTCCCCTTTTATAGTGCTTTGTGATTATTTTTCTAAAGGTTTGCATGTTTTGCTTTTTAAATCTGAGACTCAGTGCGTCTTTTGGTGGTCTGTGCAACATGTCCAATGACTATTCATGGTATAACACAATCCTAATGTGTCAATAAAAATGATTACTCTGCTAAAATCCCATTGTCAGGTTTCAATTATTCAATTTCTTTGCTTATTAGTTGTACATTTATTTAGAATAAAAATATTCTACTTATTATATAAAATCAAAGGAACAAACAAAATACAGTTTTATTTCAACTGAAATTTGTTTTAAGAACTAACATTCATATTTTAAAAAAATTTCACTTTAAATTATGTGTAAATAGGTGCATGTGATTGCTGGTGCTTCGTTTGGCCAGAAGAAGGCACTGATCAGATCTGCTAGAGTTGGAGTCACTGGCAGTTGTGAACTATCCGCTGTAGGTATTGGGTCCTCTGCAAGTGCAGAATACACCCAACTTCTCAGTGATCTCTCCAGCAGTTTGTACTTACCATTTTTAACCAAATATTTCAGATAAACACTGATTATAATGTGTTGTTTCTCTTCATTGTTGAATGTTGAAATAGAAATATCGGAGAATGTTTAATATGTACAATTGAGCAAGTTGTTTTACATTTTTTGACATATCTAATTTGCAAGACTCTTTCCTGACTACATAGTACTAGTTCTTTATTTCAATAGGACACATTAAGTAAATGACAATAGACCTAGATAAGAAACATCAATATTCTTATAATGTATAAATAGAACAATCTGTCAGAGGCCAAGTAGCTACAAGATACTGCAAAGAAATGGGAACTTTTGAAAAGGGACTGACTATTGATCACACAAAACCTGTGAGTGTGGTATGCATTTAATGTATTTGTTATCTGCTATGTTTTATTACATTGTTGGAATTTTTCTCATATATTGGTCTATATTATTAAAGTTAAAATTTTATTAATACTTTTTTCAAATAGATGATCATTAAATCATTTATCTTTCTTTTACTCTTCTCAATCACTCATGTTTAACTATTTTGTTTTCTCAAATACATATTTATCCTAAATTACCTATATATGGTTCAACAGTTATGAGCACTGCCTACTCTTCGAAAGGTCCTTAGTTCAATTCCCACCAACCACATGGTGACTCACAACCATCAAAATGGGATCTGGTGCCCTCTTGAGGAAGAGATCTGGTCAGTTGTCCTCATCAGCTTAGACCATGAAACCTAATATGGGAATGGACAAGTTCAACAGAACCACTGTAGACAGGCTGCCCATACATGAATTTTTTAAGAAAATATGTACACACACAGACACATACACATAAATATTTATATTTATGAATATATAAATGTAACATGATTAATAATGTATGATATATTTATATATATTATTAGGACTGACCTGACTACATTCCTAGGAGATTCAATCTCATAACAAACTTCCTGTTCCTCAATTTCTTGCAACCTGTTTCCCACTCTTGCATGATGTTTCCTGAGCCTTAAGTGCAGGAATTCTGGTATAGATCTATCAGTTAAGACTGGGAATCACACAATAACTTGTTATCTGTATTTTTATCAGTTTATGCTTATGTAATGGTGTTTGTCTGAGGTATAAGGGCATATTATTTGTACATAGAAGGATAAATATTTAGTTTGCAATTAGAAATTATACTTATTTAGTAAAATTATAGCTATACTACAAGCTATACTATGTAGATTTTTCAACAACAATAGCAACACTATCCCTGAATAGTTGTTTAGATCTACAGAACCAGGAATTATTTTCTTATATTAGAGTTTACCTTAAGTCAAATTTTACAACTATTATCTACTACTAAAGAATATGTGCCAGTATTAGACACCTAGGGTTATTGTGCCATGCTGGTCATGAAGACACCAAACAATGCTTCAAACCTTCATCTTCAAAAATGATGCAGTATCAGCAATAGCTCTCTACTAACATTTCTTGAAGATAAATGGTCCAATGCATCAACATACAAGCTTCAAAAATAATTACACATCTATTGGAGAGATGATTCGGTGATTGTAAGACCTGCCATGTAAGTCATATGATACGGGATCCATCTCAGGAACACTCTTACAGGTGCAGAACAAGTACTGACACTACATAAAGGCACAATGATCTCCACATGTGTTGTAGAATTACCACCACTTAGTAATAAATAAATAAATAAATATATAAATAAAATAGAACACAAATGATAATACTCTAGTAACTTCATTATTGCTTTAAGATGCCAAGGGGAGGTGAGTGAACATCCTTGTGACAATAACATTTACATTTTTACTTTTCTTTTATATTTTATTGAAAATAGATTTTTCTCATGTAATATAACTTGATGATGGTGTTCCTTTGCTCTAATCCTCCAAGTTCCTCCATACCTACCTCCAATCTGGATCTATTCCCTTTCTGTTCATTCTTAGTGAATAAAGGGGATTCTAAGTGATAATTATAAAATATTATAAATATACTAATAGAAAAAACCTATCATATCAGAATTGGATAAGACAAAGAAACAGGAAGAAAACAGCCAAGAAAAGACACAAGAATCAGAGACCCACTTATTTACACACTCAGGAATCCCATTGAAAATCCTAATTTGGAAGCCATATCATACATGCACAGGACAACTGCAGGCAATGTGCAGGCTTCTCTAGTCTCTGAGTTCATATGAAATTTGATCATGTTGAATAAAAGCAGTGATTCTCAACCTGTGACTCAGTACCCCTTTGTGATCAAATGACCTTTTTATTTGTGTTGTATTATCAGATATCCTGTATATAATATATTTAAATTACAATTTATAACAGAATCAAATTACAGTTAAGAAGCAGCAACAAAAATAACTTTATGGTTTGTGGCCACCACAACATGAGAAACATGTTGTAGCATTAGGAAGGTTGAAGAACACTGACTAAGATGGTCTTGCTAGCTTGGTGTCCTCCATCCTCTCTGGATCTCACATTCTTTCTGCTTCCTCTTCCTCTGCATTCACTGAGCTCTATGTGATGTGCAGGGATCTATTTAGAGTCTGGTGTTCAGGTACTCATCTGAGTATAGGAGAATGTCATTCAAAGTCATTTCATCGCTAATTTTATTTTTAAAGAACAGTAGTATTTCTTTTTATCCCTAGGTTCCTGGGATATCTTGTCTCTGCTTCTTCATCACCCAAGCAGTGTTGGGCATGTGTCCCATCCTATGTAAAGGGCCTTAAGTCAAACCACAAATTGGTTGATTACTTTTACAAACTAGTGTCACAAAAGCCCTAGAACATCTTGTAGTCATGATACCAACATATTAGTAGTGTTTAGGCTGGGCTGGTGTATATTTAGGGAGTGTGCAGAGTACCTTTGTGTACCTAAGATGCTAGCACATAGGAGTGAAGGCTGTATGTAGGCTCCAGATCAACTCCTCTATGTTCAATGAGTTTTCTTTAGCACTAGGGCTTTGTTGTTATTTTGTGAAGAGCATCTTTATTAATGGCAACGTTTGGGGTTGTTTGGATTCACAAGGTAACCCTTTGACCAACATCTTAATTAGATGTACTCCATTCTCAGTGCTGGAACCTTCTTTTGATAGCAAGAATTATCTTGTTAGATCTCTGTCTTCTCCATGTTTACTTAATCTAATGTAGATCATTTTCATATATGTACATATTTTAGCAAGTTTTTACTGTATCAGGTTTTACTACTCTTCATATGGCACTTAATTTTAGCTGTCTTTCCCCAAATATCATCCCTTATTCTGCATTCCATCCTCACTCCACTTGATAGTTCTGTTCTAGCCCTTCATCTATCCATAACTCTCTATTCTATCACCCTTTACCAACAAGATGTGTCCATACCTCTGGTCACTTAGACTATAATTAACCTCTAGATTTAAGGATTGTATTTACAGCCAATATCAATACATAAACAAAAACATGTCATAGTTTCTTTCTGTGTCTGGGTTATTTCATTTAGAATGTTTATTTTGTAGTTCTATGCAATTGTGATACACCCAGATTTTAATGGCCAAGAAATACTCAATTGTATAAATGTATCATATTTTCTTTATCAGTTCTTCAGTTGAGAAACAAATATGTTGTTTTCTAATGCAAGCTATGAAGAATAGAGCAGCAATGAACATATCTGAGCCATGATGTCTTTGGTAGGATGAAATGTCCTTAGGTATATGCCTACATGTAATATAGCTGTGTCTTGATGTATATTTATTCACATCTTCCTGAAGAACGAACACTCTGAATTCTACAGTGGCTGTTCAAATTTGCATTCCAACCAACAACAAATGATTGTGTTCTTGGATTTACTTCCACACCATCATGAGCTGATACTTGTTTTCTTGATCTTAGTCATTCTGACAGTTGTAAGATGAAATTTAATAGTAATTTTGATTTCCAATTTCTAATTGTTAAGTATTTTGAACAGTTATTTTAGTGGTTTCAGATATTTGAGATATATCTTTTGAAAATTCTTCATTTATATATATAACTCATCTTAAAATAGGTCAGTTGTTTTCTCTTATCAAATTTATTGAGTTCTTTAATATATTTTGGACATTAGTCTTCTATTGGATGTGGAGTTGGTAAATGTCATTTCCCATTTTCTAGGATACTGTCTTGTCTGAATGATGCCATCCTTTATCTTACTGAAGGCTCTCAGTCTCTTGGGATCCTGTTTATTAGTTGTTGTACTTAGGATGCATATTATTCATGTTTTGTTCATAAATTATCTCCTTTATCAGTGTGTCCAACTGTATTTCCCAATTCCTCTTCTGTGTGGTTCAG